TGGTTGTCAGACTCAGCAGTGAGCAACCACACCAAATGAGGTATCGCGTGGCCCCATTATTTTATCATCTTCCCTGGGGTGAAGGCCATCTCTAGCGATTATTTTGCCTCAGTTCCCTCTTTCCATTTATAGCAGTTAGTTACCTGGGGTAAGGGAACTGGTTGACTGATGCAGCATCCTCCTTTTTGAATACACAGTGGCCATGAACCTTGTCTTAGTGATGGAGATTATGTGCCCTACAGAATGACATTGTCAGGTTTTGGTATGTTTTAAAACTTTCCCACAGAACCCTGTTTTCCCTGCTTAGGTGATTTAACTCCATAGCCACAGTCCCGTCTCCACTATCCTGCTGAACACCAAGAGTGGAGCAAGACTGGCAAGGCCAGAGCTGGTCAGTCCAGGCTTGGAAGGGGGTCAGACTCCACCACAGGTGTTGCTTCTGGTTGTATGTTGATCCATAGTTAAAAGTGCTGGCTTCTCTTCCTGAAGAGCTTGATTCAATTCCCAGTACCCACATGGCAGCTCACAACTACCTGTAACACACACACATGCACACATACACACACACATACACACATATACACATGTACACACACATACACACATATACAAACGTACACACATACACACATACACATACACACACATATATACATACACACACATACACACATGTACACACACATACATACATACACACACATACATACACACATGTACACACATACACACACATACACACACATACACACACATACACACATATACACACATACACACATGCACACATGTACACACATACACAAATACACACACGTACACACACACGTACACACACGTACACACACATGCACACACATGTACACACATACACACACATACACACCTGTGAGCGTGTATATCTGGAAGCTTTTAAAGCCACATTTGGTGACTGCTTCCCCTCCTTCTGAAGACACAGGAAGAGAGGATTCTTTCTCTAGAATCTTCCAGATGATCATGCCTGACCTATGAACTTGCATTACAGGAAAATGCTGGAAGAGATTAAGAAAAGCATCTAGAGCCTTTCATCTGCACAAGAGAGACCCAGAGGTTCAGAGATCAGGGAGGCTGCTCAAAGGCAGTGTGGGCTCTTCACCTGGCCCAGAAGCCATATTTGGTCCTAAGCTCTCTTTATTAAAGAGGGCTGGTGTTGATAGAGAAAGTGGACCTGTGCCGTTTGGAGCTGGTCTGGAATTCCAGCCCTGAAGAAGAACGTGAAGCAGTTACTGGGTATGGAGTGGAGACGGAGGTAGGGCTGGAGGCTGTCTTGCCCCCCCAAGTTTTTCCTTGAGTCTGGGTTGCAGCCAAGGAAAACATGAGCCCGGTTCCCCCTCGATCCAGCAGAAGACAAACCCGGGGCTTTACAATCACCGTCTGGAAAAATCTTACACTTCACATCCTCCTGCAGGCCCCCGGTCTAAAGAGGGGAGGGCAGCTCTGTTGGCAGTAGGGACAGGGGTTCCAGGGTCTGGAAACAAGATGGGCTTCTTCCCTCAAGGGGCTCACAATCTTCGGTAAAACCAGACAGACCTTGGGCGTAGTGGGGAAAACTCCTTTATTGCACACTGAAATTCCATCCACGGGGAAACTGGCTGGAACTGTGTGTAGAGTCAGGCTCCAGAGGAAACAGCCAAACCCAGGCGAAGCCCATTCCAGCCTTAGTCCTCACCTGGTGCCCTAAACCCCACACCTATCTGGCCAGCCATCAGATTTCCCGTGGCTGATCTGTGTTCTGCCCTCTAGGTCCGCCCCTACCGAAAATTCCAATCCGTTTGCAAAGAAATGATTGTGAGAGACGGAAGACATTCCTCTGTCTGCGCAGTTTCTCTTATCTCTCTGCTCACTGTCCTCTCCCCGGGCCCAGATGTCCCCGCCCGGGAGACTAGATCTAGGAAAGGATGTATAACGGGCTGCTCTTCTCTGCGACCCCCTCGTCCCTCCCCACTCAGCTGCTTGCCTGCTCTGGCTCCCGCACCGGGCTGGGGCGCCAACTAAATCTGATGAAAATGCAATTGCCAAGTCGTTAAGGTATTTGAATTTAAAAAAAAAAAAACTCCTGAGAAAGAAAGTATTTGATGGCTAATAATCTCATTTCAATATAATGGGACCTTCTTCTACAGAGAGCAAGACAGGTTAAGAGATATAATTATGACTTCGCAAACTCTCTCCCAAGCGCGGGAGACACGCTGACAGGTCTGTGCTAGGCTGCGCCCGGCTTCTCTTGCTCCGAGGATAGACGCTTTGTCTGCACGGCCCCGTTAAAGACACGCGGTCCCTTTTCAACCCCCAGCCCGGCCTACATTGCAATTTAACTGTCAGCCGGGTCCTCGCTCAGAGATTGAGCGCGAGGGCAGGGGGTTGGGTGACAGAAGGGGAAGCCGGACTGAGAGGAAAGGCTTCGAGGGTCTGACCGGTCAAACGCTGCTGGACCCAGAACCCTAAGGTGGACTTTCTAATCTGATCCCACCAGGGGCTCTTTTTAAGGGCGTCTACACCGCAGGGTCCAGGAGGAACAGCGGCCGGCGGGACTTGAGGGGCACAGATTTATTGCCCGCGTCCAAAGTGGTCCTTTTGATCCCAAATGAATGGATTCTTTCTGGTGGGACTGCTTGGCGTCGGGCGAGGGAAGGAACCGACTTAGAAAGCTAGAGAGATCCCAGACTCTGGAAGAGATGTTTACACACACACACACACGCCTCTTTTACTACACCAGTAGAAGAACTCCCATTTGAAGCCTAGGTAAAGAGAATTCTCATGGGCTCACATCTGCCCCCTTAACCAAAGTGCAAGGAAGGGAACCCCTAAAGCACCGGGCACGCATGTGCGGGAAAGGTGCGCGCCCGCAAACAAGAGGCCCGCGTGCTTGACGAGTTCTGGTTGTACTGTACAGTTCAGGAGACTACGGAAAAGTCATAGCTTGGGACTGCCCAGGAGTCTCGGCAGCCAGCGAGATGCGCCCCTTAACCTAACGCAGGTGCACCGGCCACCAGGAAGAGAGCCCAGAAACGTGCAGGGATGCGTGTGCGTGCCTGTGCGCGCAACATCTCGGGAAAGCACTTGGCCAGCAACTTAGACATGGAGCTGGGGAAGTGAAAAGGCGCCCGCTGGGGGACAGTACTTAGGGCAGGTGGCACAGAATCTGGGAAGTGAACGTGACCCGTAGATGCTGGGAGCTTCACACCCAAGCTTTTCTGGAAGCGATCAGCTCGGACCACCTTCTCCAAGAAGGAATTCGAACGACGCGGGAGCACCGCCAACCCTCCCTCATCCTCTAGGCCTTGAGGTTCCTCAGAACTCCAACAGTAGCCCTTAGGGGAGTGAGGGCGTAGGAGATCCCACGGTGCCTCTGCGACAGACAGGCGAGGTCCACGCAGCGCGGCATCTTCTGGAGTAGGTGACTCTATCCTGCCAAGATTCCAGGTTCGCAACTCTTTCCCGCAGCGCTCACGTTCCTGCAGCCGCTGGCCTCTCTAGAAACCATTCCGACAGCAATGTAAGCGAGGGTGGCGCTGTCGCGAGCATGACGACTTACGTTTCCTTCCTCCCAGCGGAGTTCAGAGCGGCCAGGGGACATCCTCCCCCTGGTGGCACGAGTCGCGTGTTTTTGAAAACCTTGTATAAACTACCCTCAAAGCGAGCCTGGCTGCGAGCCTCGTTCATCTTTGGTTGAATACTCCCGGTTATATGCTAACCCTTTGCCCTGGTCCGACCCATGGTGGCCAAGTTGTGGCAGGCCCAGCCTTTTTCCGTGCCTCCCCCGACCCTCGGTGTCCCTCTCCATTGCGGGGGCAAGTGTAGAAGCGGTCCCCAACCTTGCTAGGCTTCCTGTCACCTCCCCTTCTCTTTTGGCGTTTAATGACCCTAGCACTGAGAACTAGTGCGGCCACAGCAGAAGAGTGTTGCTGATGGGAGCCAGGTGGCCTCAAGGCTGGGGGGGAACCCCCGGGGTGACCCATAGTGTTGGGGTTCTCCCGTGCTGAACGCGCTGGGGGAAGAGGGCAACTCTGGGCGCCTGACTGTGCTGGCCAGGGTCCCGTACGGGTTGGGGGGCGCCGCGGAGGCCGGGCCCGTCGCCGGCGGGGTCAGGGGCGAAGGGGCAGGCGGAGGGCAGCGCGCGGGGAGCCGGCGCGGAGGCTCAGGTTACCCGGCCCAGCCCTCCCACCCGCAGCTCGCTCGCGGGGGCCGGGGCAAGCTCTGGCCGCCCCCTACCCCCGCTGTTTGCATTTCTCTGGCAGGCGGCGGGGCTCGGCTTGAAAGAAATGGCCTTAGTTTGGAACGGTGTTTATTTTTCTTAACTAGCCAGCGCACACAGACGACCCCGTGAGCAAGGCGACCGGACTAGGCCGATCCTGCGCTTGGGAAAGGGGTCAGGACAAGGGGCCAGCCGGGCGACACGGGGGAGCTGGGAATGGACTCTGGTCCCCCCACCCACAGCGGCCGGGCTAGGGGAGGGGTCGTGGCTGGCAGGAGGATGACTTTGTTCCTTGAAGGCAAACAGACCTGCCGCGGTTGCTGTAGGTTTGACCTTGTACAAGGCCGGGAAGCCAAGTGGCGAAGCCTTTTGGTTTCGACGTCCTGTTTTCTTGGATTTAAATGCATCGTTCCTGATTTTTTAGTTCTAACACCTGGCGGACAAAGCGCCTTTGTAACTCAGTTTCCTCCTCGGTCAAAGGGCTCTCACATAATACTTTGCTCAGTGGATGTTTAGAATAGCTTTCTTAGGACAGAGCCTGGAACTTGCCGAGATGTCTGGAGATCAGTCCTTTTGGTGGGCACCGTGGCCACGAGAGGGTGGCAGGTGTGGAGGAACGATGGGGCCCCCCCAGGAAACCTGCATGAAATGAGAGCCTAGGATTCTCTAGCTGAAGGAAAAAAACTGAGGGCTGAGGAAGTGTTCTGAGCGTTTTGACAGGAGATGAATAAAATGCAAATGATATTCAAAGCAATATGCTAATGAGGTTCTATTCTTTGAGCGGCCACAGCCCTTGCAGGGTCCATAATGACGTTAGAGCTGGAGTGAACTCCAGGCCTGGGCAGGGTCCAGCGGTCCGAGTCTCCGGTGTGCGCCACGGCTCAGAGTGTGGGCTTGTGAGTGTGGCTCGCGCTTCTTCCTTCTCCGGAATGTGCGGTGCGGGCTCCCGGTGTGCTCGCACTGACTTGAAAATGAGGTCAGGGAAGGTCGTTCCACTCTGCAGCATAAATCAAAGAGGAAGGGAGAGCGAATGTGAGAGACAGTCCCTGGAGACGAGAGAGAGAGAGAGAGAGAGAGAGAGAGAGAGAGAGAGAGAGAGAGAGAGAGTGAGAGAGA